GGGGGCCAAAAAAAAAAAAAAAAAAAAAGAACGAGGGCAGTGTTTGAATCAATGGGTCTCTTTATTTTTTTTTTATAAATTAGATTTTATTCGTGAGATTTTTGTAGGGTTCACTTTTACGTGAAACTGGCAAAAGGGATTGAAAGGATTCTGACATTACTAACTCTTCTCTGGTTATGTCTTTATGGCTTCTGTTTTGTATTTTCACATAAAAGTAAAACTTGCTATCTTGTTCTTGTCCATTAATATTTAAAATATTTGGTCGATATTATATTCTTGTTGAAAAATAAAGGGCATGTAATTTCAATCTTGCATCATCAAATGTTTGGGTTCCTAAGGGCAGAGATCGTAAATTTTGAGAAAAAAACCCAATCTAGTACGAAAGGGGGAGGGGTGTCTCTTTAACTTTTTCTTTATTCCATTCTTCTTTTACCAGTTTTTTTTTTTGTTGGCGGTCCAATATATATTATATAGTTTAGTCTCTTTCATGGGATCTCTTTTTGTTTTTGCATTGGGGGTTTGCATGATATTGCATGTCGGCCACATTTCTCCTTTCTCAATTTCTTGTTTCCTTCTTTTTTTTTTTTTTTTTTGCCAAACCAGTTCACCTGGCACTTTGGCCCAACCTACATCTCCCTGGGTCAGGAGCCGCCTTTGAACACACAGTCTTTGGCTATGTCTCTCCCTCCCCGCATGTCTGGATTCGAACCCCTGACCTGGAGGAGGAACACCCTCACTTCCAGTCCAGATACCACTCGACCACAGACATGTGGGTCAATTTCTTGTTTCTTTTCCGATATATATATATATACACATAATATATATATATATATATATATATATATATATGCTCGCTGATTTTATAACGCATATTGGATACGGTCTCAACTCAAAAAGAACAAAAAATACATGGAAATTTTCTTGGAACGGATTCTATAACGCATCTTGGATATGGAATCCTGCTCGTTCGTGAAATTTTTTATTTTTTATTTTTTTATATTATTTTTTTAAAATTATGTCAGACTTTCACATATATCCAAAGCTCGATTTGAGCCCGATACGAAAGTCTGGATTTCATTCGGGCCGAAAAATTTAAGTCCGATATTTTTCGGTTCAAGTCAAATTTGACACTCATAGTGTGTATGAGTAGGCAAAATGTACCGGAAATTTATTGTGAAGAAGAAGACCATTGAAACGGTGAAACTGATTAACAAATATTTTTGCTAGTTTATGAATGTTTTAATACGAATAAATGCATTTGTTAAAGAGAAGCATATACATACAAGTTGACAAATATTTTGGAATAATGTATGTGTATTATTAAATTAGTATATTAAATCGTATTAGGATCATTCGTCTATATATATATATATATATAATATGGTTATATTTCAAAAACTACATAAAGATTTCATCATCTGTTACTCAGCGATAACTTCGCATTGTCGAATTTCAGGGGATCTGGAATATTGGCCCATTGGGCTTCTCGTAGTATTACTCCAATTGGGCCTAAATTAGCCTCGTTGTGATCATTTTATTTTTATTTTTAAAATGTCTTTATTATATTATATACAAGACTGGGCTTTGAATATATATATTTTTAATCCTTCAAGTTACAAAATCGAATTCCACTCCACTATACCCCCATTAAATATCGTTGGGCCTGTCAATATAAACTTCTGATCACGCACATATATGTGTGTGTATATATATATATATATATATACGTATTGCTCACACATATATGTACTTATATCACGTCTCCGTGTAAATTAAATTAAATGCCCTACCACTAGAAATTCATTTTTTTTGTTTGCAGTGTTTGCGTATAAATTTATATTGTTTGTGTTGGCTGGATTTGATTGTATATCAAATTTATAAACCGACTGTTTATTAATGTCACACATTCAACACATCTCAAACCTACCCTTTGAAAAATAACATAATGACAAGCTCTTATGCACAAAATTTGTAGGAGATTTTTTTTTTGTGCTTGATAAATACAATATTGCATGGCTGATGATAACGTTAAGAAGTTTATGCAATTGAGTCTGTTGTATGACGACAAGTGATGATTAACATACATAAAAAAACAAATTTGAATGGCCAATAACATATAAAATATGCTTTTATCTCGGGTTTAAATTTAAATGTGAAGAGGAGTTTTCATCCGTGTTTTTTCGCTTATTTAGAAAATATAGTTGGATAAAAAATTTGATAAATTTTTGAATTATAAAAATATACATGAAAAAAAGAATATTAAAAAAATGTTTTCAAACAATAAAAATAATTTAGTAAATATTACCAAAAAAATAAGAATGTAATTTTAAAAGTTAATCATATTTCGATATCCGAATTATTACCAAATTTTAAAATTTTCAAAAAAAAGTTACTAGATTAGATTTCAATAAGTTGTAACATCACATGATCCTTATAAAAATTTTTAAAAAAAAATTATAAACTCAACATCGGGATTTATGTTATAGACTTGTGAACTCTATTGGATTTATCTATGGAGAAGACGTGAAAACAAAATCCAAAATATTTCTACCAAAAAAAACAAAATCCAAATTATGGAGACTTGACCTTATAGAGAATGCTAGAAAAATCTTGAGAAGGAAAAAAAAACGGATAAAGGAAGGATTTTTACGGGGGAGAAAGGACAAAACATCGGAAAAAAGGGAGGAGGAGGAAGAAGACATGCAAGCCGCTTTGGTATCCCACCAACTCTCTCTCTCTCTCTGTACCTCCTCTGACTCCTCAGAAAATCATACTCTGTTTTTTTTACATTTATTTATATTTATATAATCAGCTAACTATTTTATCATTTTCATTTATTTATATATATATATATATATATATATTGTTTATTTAATTTAATTTAATTTTGCATTTACTTATTTCGGAAGCTCTGTTGTCTGTCGCTGTTTTGTAGAGCACGTAGACCGAGTCTCTCCCCCTCGAATCTCTTTTCAAGTCCATAAACTCGGATACATATATGCCGTATATGTATATGACAGAAGAGAGAGAGAGAGAGGAGAGTTTCATGTGCTTCTCTTTGGTTGCTTGAAAGAATTTAAAGGTGCCTTCTTAACCCCTTTTTTTATTTAGAAAAAAAAAGAAAGAGAATCTGGGTCTCCCTTGTTTATCTGAGCTCTGAGATTTCCGATCTCTGCACCATCTTGTTCGGGTACTGTTTTATACCTTTTCCCATGCATTTTTCTTCCTGGGTTTGTCCTCTTTCATCTCTCCATTCGCGAATCTCGTTTTGCAGGATCTGGGCGTTTTCGTGGTAATGTGGGTCTGCTGAAAAATGGATTCTTCCGTTGAAGGTAAAACCATTTCTCGTCTTCCGCCATCCCCCGTCTCTTTTTTCCAACGGCGTCGTATCGGTCGCTTCGTTTCATGTTTCTGCTGTAATCGCATTGGATTTGTCGCCTTTGCTGATGGATGGTTGGTTAAGGGTTGTTGAGCTTTAGCGCTTTTGTCGACAAAAGTCTCGACCTTTGCTTCTCTGTTTGACCAAATCTTTCTAACCAAACAAAAAAAAACAAGACTTTATATATAAAAAAACATATGCTTTGGTCTCTGAGGTTCTTGGCTCTCTCCCATGGCGGTGAATTCCCGTCTGTTACTCCTTTTACCATTGTATGTTTAATATATGATGGCTAAGCCTTCTTGATATAAGCAGCTCATAAAAAAAACTGTTGTGCCCGTTTGCGTTTTACTTTGAAATCTGAATCTTTCGCTTTGAACTCGCCACAGGTGAATGTGGCAAACTGTGTCTGGACGAAAGGATAGAACTCATCCATGCTTTGTCGATGAAGAAGCCGGACGAGGCATACAAGCGGTTGCAGTCATGGAGCCGACGCGAGATCCTTGAGATGCTACGGGCGACGGGGAATGAGAGGAAATACTCCAGTCTGACGAAACCGAAACTCATCGAGAACCTTCTGGATCTCTTATCTGGTCGGAGAAACTCTGAGGGAAAACAGAAAACAGACGGGTCCGAGTCTGTCTGCTGCAAAAACTCGGCCTGCAGGGCTGTTCTCGGGTGGGAAGGCGAGTTCTGCAAAAGGTGTTCGTGTTGCGTCTGTCTCAAATACGACGATAACAAGGACCCGAGCCTCTGGCTGACCTGTGGCAGTCTGTCTGCTGCAAAAACTCGGCCTGCAGGGCTGTTCTCGGGTGGGAAGGCGAGTTCTGCAAAAGGTGTTCGTGTTGCGTCTGTCTCAAATACGACGATAACAAGGCCCCGAGCCTCTGGCTGACCTGTGGCTCAGAGCTTCTGTCCGAAGGAGAAGGTTGTGGCTTGTCGTGCCATTTGGAATGCGCTTTAGAGCATGAGAACTCCGGGATTGGGAGAGACGGGGACCGAGGCAGGCTCGATGGCGGGTTCTACTGTGTTTCCTGCGGCAAGGAGAATGATCTGATCAGGTAAAAAATTCTCAAAACTTCGGGATACAAAACCGGTTTGGATCCAAATTCGTGGTTTCTTTTCTTGACACAGAAGTTGGAGGAAGCAGATGACGGTGGCGAAGGAGACAAGGAGAGTGGACATACTCAGTTACCGTGTCTATTTAGGACAGAAGCTGCTTAGGGGCACGATCAAGTACCGGGAACTGTCGAGTTTCATGGACGAAGCCATGATGAAGCTCGAGGTCGATGTGGGACCGTTGCCTCTGAAGATGGCGGCCAGGGGAATTGTGAACAGGCTCTCATCCGGACCATGTGTCCAGGAGCTGTGTTCCTCCGCACTTGCCTCTTTGGACAAAATGCTTTCACACTCTGCTCAAGATCGTGTGGGCATAAGAGTGGAAGATGTCCAAACAAGATCCATCACCTTCAGTTTGGATTGTGATGACTCTTCTTCTTCCCCACAAACTGCGATTAGGGGATTCAGGTTGTTCTGTCGCAAGTCGACGGACCAACGGTACCTGACTCAGCCGACTTGTGTTGCCTATCTACCTGATATTAAGGCTACCATTACAGGACTAGACCCTGCCACCGAGTTCTCCCTCAAAGCCGTAGCCTTTAATGCCGGTGGGGCCATTGGTGCATCCGAGCTTCAGTTCTCAACATTGGGAGAAGGAGATGAAGCCTCTGACCTCAAAATTTCGGAGAGAAGCCAAAGCCCTTTGACAAACTCTAGCGGCCTTTCTAACCCGTCTTCGGTGGACGATGAATTGAACAACATTGCTGTCGGGAGAAGTGGCAAGATGGGAGAGTCTGACCTAGAGGAAGGGGGACTTCTGGTAGGTCAATTCAAGAATACCAAAAGGCATGACAAGCGAGTTCAGGCAGAAGGCGACTTGCCTGTAACTCCACGCAAGACAGATACTCAGGGTAAGAAAAAACGGACTAAGAGATTCAAATCAGATACCGAAACAGGACCAACGATGACTGAGGAGTGTGCGAAGCGAAGTACAACTACTAAAACAAAAGGGTATACAGATAATAGGGTCTATAATGCAAATGGAGTGCCAGATAAAGATTTCGAGCATATTGTGAAGACGATCAGATGCTTAGAGCAAGAGGGCCATATAGATAAGAGTTTCACAGAGCGATTCTTGGCATGGTACGGCTTAAGAGCTACTCACCGGGGAGTTAGGACCGTGAAGCTCTTCGTAGAGACATTCAAGGAGGATCTTGCGTCTCTGGGAGAACAGCTTGTGGATACATTCTCAGAATGCATAGTGAGCAACAGATCAACCGCCGTCGTGCCTGCCGGAATCTGCCTCAAGCTCTGGCATTAACTTTAGGAATTCTATCACATAGTCCTGTGGGTATAATTGCCCATCTGCAGCTCTAATAGTTTCCCTTTTCAGTATCATTAAACAGCAAAATTAAAATTTCACAGCTATTACTATTAGAGCAATCATTACGAGAAGATCCTAGTTTAGAGCTGCTTTTCGACAGAAAATGCATGGTAAATGTACAATGTTTAAGCATCTTGAATCCTAAAATCAACAGAGCTAACAGATATGAGATGTTTCCATTCAAAAGAGTATATTTTTCCTCAGGGAAGTCAGAATGGAGATGGGAAGAATCAAAACACATTAAATCTTCAAAACACAGATCACATTGGGTAGGATATCATATCAAACAACTATCATCTTCTTAACTGCTGTTACTTGTGTCCTGGGAACCCGGCAGAGGAAGAAGGGATCTGCGAGATATTGTTGAAAGTGTAAGAAGGGAGATTTGACAAATCTTTATGAAGAGATCAAATTTTGATAGCTTTTCTTACAGATTAATAAAATTATTGCCCAAAAAACTACCACAGACATCTATGGTCTGTCTTTGTCAAAGCAAAATTGTATGAAAGGTAGCAGAAAGGAGCAGATTCATCACAAACCAGAAGAACCATCGCACAGACAAGATTGAAGAGCAATGAAACCAAATGAATTCACAATCCCACAGTTTCATCACTCACTCAGCGACCATGGAAACACTTGAAAACGCTGACCTTAGGAAGCTAGCGATTTCGCTCCGCCGGCAAAGGGCGGTTGAAACCTCCTCGGCGGTTCATGTACTGCCTGGGCTGTCGCTTTGTCACTGCCCTGACACCACTGACGTCAGCACCTGGAACCGGCTTGCCTTTCGTCGAATCGAATCCAACCGGAATCCCTAGCTTCTTCATCATCTCAATCTCATCTACATCCATTCCCTCGCCCCCGTCATCATTCTCGGCGTTTTCGCCGCCGGTTTGTTTATCCTTTTTCTTCTGCTGCTCTTTGACGATATCGTCCACGAAATCTGAGACAGCTCGCTTTCGGTCCCTCTCCTTCTCATCGTCCACGGATTCTTGACGATGTCGCTTACGAGACGGCACCTCGGGGGTGGGAGTCCGGCGCCGGTGATGGCGATGGCGGTCACGGTCCGGAGAGCGGGAACGAGACCGGAACCTTTCCGGAGAGCGCGCATGGCGGAAACGAGGATGGTGGTCCAGAGACCTAGATCGAGACCTCCTGCTCCGCAGCCCTCGTTCACGGTCTCTGTCCCTCTCTCTGTCACGGTCGTCTCTGTCTCGGCGCCTGTCCCGCTCGCGGTCTCGGTCCCGATCCCTTTCACGCTCTCGTTCCCGTTCCCGTTCCCGTTCCCGTTCGCGGTGGCGGTCGCGCTCCGACATGGTGGCGACGAGGCGGAGAAACGGTGGAGGTTTCAGGGTTTAAAGTTAAACCAGATTCAACGGAGGCTAGGGAGAATTTTTCTTTTAAAATTGGGCAGAGAGGCTTCTTTCATCAGAAATTGCAAAAAAGGTAATCGATATTGATAAATTGCAAATCAACCCCCAATTCCATTCAAAATGCGGAATAAAACCTAAACTCTTAATTTTGCAATAAAACCCTATTAATTTTATATTTTAAAGGTGAAAGGCATTTCCTTGAGATAAATTAGGACATAACGTATAAAATATCATTTTATAATGTCAATGTGAATTGAAAATGCAAAAAATGAAAACCACAGAAACATAATAGAAAAAATTCGGAAACTGAAAAGGGAGGAGAGAAATTCTTGGAACCCTAAAAGCTTTACAGAAGAAGAGAATGTGAACAGATGAAAGGAACAATGGAAAGACAAACAGTGACACTAAGACCTATCAGTATAAGTGACCTTTTCCCATTACAAATATCATATTCCTTTTCTCCAATAAATCAACAAAACACATTGTGTTTTTTTTTTTCAAGTCACTTACTTACCAACAAAAGACTCGAGTTTCTAACAAAACCCCCCAATTTTGGCCTTTATTGGTTCTGTCGGTTCGTTCAAGTGAGAGAGCTGACAAGGGAGAGCTCGTGGAGCTCGCTAAGCATCCACTCTTCCCCGGTTTGGCCGCCAAGAACTATAGCCCTCGTCCCTCCCACCACACATGTCCCGTGTCCCCAAGCAAACCTCGGGGGTCTGCCCGGCACATTTAGCAGTCTCCACGTTGGCTTCTCGTCCGTCGGGTCGAGCAGATAGAGCTGGGAGGCCGAGTGCAGCCCCGCAACCGACCCTCCAAATATCAAGATTCTTCCGCCCGGCAGGCTTACCGCCACGTGGTCCAGCCTCGGAGGAGGAGCCAATCCTCCGGGGTTTCCTGCACCTGGCATTCCACTCCCGGTCACGCACCTCCAGCACGGCTCTTCCTCGCTTAGGTCCATTGTGAATACGTCGCTTGAACGGAATCTCAGAGGCCCACTCTTTGCCAGGCCCCCGAACATGAGTATCTTTCTCCCCCCATATACCGACAGGGTGTGACCGAGCCTGGAAGGTGGCGTCCAAGCGGCCGGTATTTCTCTCCACACGGGTTTTTCCATCGAGAGGTCCAGGAGGAACGTGTCACTGAGGAGAACCCCGGAATCTGCACATCCTCCCGAGACGATCAACTTGGAGCCATCAAGGGTGCATGAGCTGTGCCATGACCTCGGGAGTGGAGGGGCCAATCCCGAGATCTCTCGCCAAGAAGGCGGCTTTGCATCCAGATCCAAGACGAAGACGTCGTTCAGCAAACCTTGCCGACCACAGCCTCCGAATACGACCAGATTGGACCCGTTGACGCAGGAAAGCGAGTGGCCCCAACGTCCCGGAGGAGGAGAGCTCACTTGGACGTGTTGCCATTCCGGGTTTTCTGAATTCAGATCCAAAACAAACGTGTCATTCATTGGCTGCATGTTGACACCCTCTCCTCCGAAAAGTACGACCCTGTTCCCGACTGCACACGCGCTGAAATTGCACCGGGAGGGCTCAACAGCACCGCCGACAGTAAGTTTTCTCCAGGCCGCTGCTTCAAGGGTGGTCAGTTCTCTAGCCAGCCTGCCCCAACCGAGTCTCTTTGCCCCGGGCACAGTTTCTAAAACACGCGTTGTCTCACTGCCCCATGCATTCTGACAAACCATTCGCCAAAGGTCCTCATTCTTTGTCATTACATAAAGTCTGCGACAGACCGAGCTAACAGATGCAATGTCCCTCGGGGTTAGACGTGACAGTATCTTTAGAGACAAAACCTCGTCGCTCAGTTGGAATAACCCACACATCACACGGCAGAAATTCCGCTCCCCTTCTGTTGATGCCGAGACATTGGAGTAAATTATGTCAATTGATCTTTCCTTTGCTGAAGATCCCGCAACAGGTCCAAGATCGATGTTTGCTTCGGTGAAGAACTGGATTCCAATGACATGGGTGATCACCTCATCGTCTCCATAAATAGGAGTCAGCCGCAATCTATTCATCAACGGAGTTCCATCTTTTCTAAAGTTCAACAACTCGCCTTGGAATTCAATGCCCTCTTCAAGACATTTCCTAATCTCAGAAACCACGACAGAGTCCACTAGCGGATGCCTTCTTTTAGCAAACGGTCCTCTACATTGCAGGAAGCGGCTGCAAAAATCGGAAGAAATTTGCAACAAGATGAGACAGAGAAACAAAGTCACCTCAGACTTACTGATGTGTGGAAAACAATCAACAGTTAGTTTAGTAACAGGGCCGGACAAATAGACAATGAAAACAAAACCGGAAGACTCCTAACAAATGTAGCCTAGAAAACAACAAGAGTTGGGATTCATCCAACAGTCACACCCAATCTCAATTGGCTTCCAACCTTGCGAATCCATCTACCATTCCAACGACAATAATCAGAACCGGTTTCTAAATCTTACAAGGTAACTAATGCTGAAGCATCCAAAAAATGACCAAGAAGCTCCATTCCCACCGAAATAGCTCAGTTCATATCAGAAGGACAAGATAAATCCAAAGCTTACTAATACTGACGTTTAAAAAAGAGGAAACTCCCTCTGCTTCTCCCACGGAAAAACAGAAATTCACAATCAAATCTCAATAATTTTAGCCGTCCCTAGCTCAAATGTACATCAACGATCAATGGGTCTCTCTGAATCATTATAATCTGACTACCAAATAAGTGGGGGGTTTCTAGTGTAAAAGCTGAACAAGCTTGTAAAGCCAACACCTCCAAATCTATACAGACAATTGGCCTCGATTCCAACAAGTTTTACCTGCTGGTGAATTCTGCGTACCTCGCCTATAAGCAAACCGCACAATTCCTCCTTAATCAAACTCCTTAAGGTTCGCAATACGGGACAAGGGAAGACAGAAATATGACAAAAAAAACCCAAACGGTTCGGCGAGAGCCAAAGTCAGCTAAATTCCTAGCATCATATGGAACCCTAAACTCGAAATTGAAGAAAATGACTGACCAATTTCTGCCGAGAACCTCCTCGGCGCGATACCCGGTAACCATTTCGAAGACGGTGTTGACGTAGATGAGAGGGTGATCAGGATCGACGGCGTCGGTGACGACGAAACCACACGGCGTCGTATGAAGAAGATTCTCGACGGGGAACGGAATTGGTCCGCCGGAAAACAAACCCTCCTCTTCTTCCTCCGCCGCAGACGACGAGGCGTCGTCACTGCTGAGATCGGAGCCACTGTCCCACTCCATGAGAGGGGGGAAGACGATCGAAACGACGACGTAACGGTGAGAAATCGGGGAAATGACGAGAGATGTTGGGCTGGGGGATGAACGAGTGGTAAGCAACCGTCGAGTTTGGTGGAAAAATCTCGAGGCGTTTTAGAAACAATGGGTTTTTAAACGGGTCGGGTTTGACCCGAATTATCCGTTTTGCTTTGTCGGGTCCCCTCCCGGCCCAGTTTCCGACATTCTGTGGGCTTCTAATCCTTTTTTCTTCTCTGTTTTGTTAGGATTTATTGGGATTTCTTTTTAAATATGCATTTTAAAAACCTATAAAATATTTTTAAATTTTGATTCGTTCAAAAACTTTTATCACCGAATTAATCGAGTAAATAAATATATAAAATGTTAGATGTTACATGCTAATGTAATAAACAGATATACTAACTCAGATATAAATGTATAGTTAACGATTAAAATAATTTAAACAATATGAAAAATCTGGCAACAATAATAAACGATCAGTTAAACCTATAAAAAATATATAAATATATATTTTCATTTGAAATTTAAACTATGTTGCCAAAACAAGGAACAACAAATATATAGACTTCAAATTTGATAAACTTTAAAAAATAAAATAAAAACGAATAATAAGATCATGCGCCTTTAGCAAAAAAAAAATAAAAATAAAAATAAGATCATGCACAACATGACAAAACACTAACCGTGGATCTCAATCCAAACGAGACACTTAATAGTGTAAAAAAAAACAAAAAAAAAACCCCTAGATTATGTGTGGTTTAATTGGTTATAGATGAAACAATTTTTTTTTTCAATATAGATTCGAGTATCTATTTAGAAAAAATTGAAGGGATATCCATATGAACTTTTGAAAGATGTATTTAGATTAAAAAAAAATCAAGTGAATTTTCAGATTATAAAAAATAAAATAAAATAAATGATGATGATGATGAAACTTAGTGGGCCGGTGAAGTTGATACCCAAATGCACATCCCTACCATGTAGAAGCCCGCAAATAAAATAACCGAAGCCCATTCATAGCGTTGGTTCAAATCAATATCCAAACTCAATTTACATATTAATCGAATCCAAGTCAGTCCATATATTATCTTATATTTAAAAGACGTCACGTCCAACTCTTTTGATTGATTTTTTTTTTTTAAATATACTACACCATGGTCCTCTTCGCTTTAATTTGACGCATAAATGAGTAGTTGTGTTAGGAGATAAAAAAATATATATATACAGTTTAAAAGTTATGGACTTACATTACATACAACCACAAGTCTTACGTATGATAATGTTCATAAAAAAAAGGGTAAATGTTAGGCCAAAAAATTTATTTTTTAATCATTTAATATCGGATGAAATCTATATCATATCTAAACTAACAATATTCTTATGATGATGCGAGCCCCACTAAACCAATGCTCGTCTGATAAAAATGTGTCACGTAACTCCAACGATAACATAACATAATATAATATAATATAATATAATATAATAATTCGATTTTTCCCGTCGTGCCGTACTAGTTAGTACGCCCATTCAAATCAAAAGACCATCACTCATATATATATAACACATATATATATATATGTGTGTGTTTGTGTATATGTATATATTTATATATTACTACAAAGGACGAACGAGCACATATGCAAATGGACACTCGCCACTTGGGTAGTGGAATTCTTACCGTAATTTCCACAGTATCTAAATAATTTGTGCATAATATTATATATATATATATATATATATATATATATATATATAATATTTGAGCTCCTCGATCGAGAATCTGTATTATTTGAAGCAAAAAAATTTACGATCCAAAACGAAAGTGGAAGGCAGAGGAGCACAAACACAAGTGGCTTTGGTCGGTTGATCCTTCTTCACTCAACTTTTTTTTCTAACGTACGCCATTCGATCCTATCCATCTCTTGCGTTCATAGATGCTCATGTCTCTTTTGTTTCTTTTTCCCTTTTCTTTTTTTTTTCCACCGTTTTATTTTCTTTTTGATATTTTGTCTAGCGAATATTATTTTCCTTTCGTATTTTAAATTACTTTTTTTTATTGTGATCCCCGTCTTCTTTTGTGTCAATTTTAACAGAAAATAGAATTTATTGAAATTTAGGAATTTCAAAATATGTGAGTGCGGCCATGGATGAAAAGTCCGTGGCTAAAAATGATTCATGCAAATTTCTTCTATAGTTAAAGTCAGTTTCAATTATTATTATTATTATTATTATTATTATTATTATTATTATTATTATTATTATTATTATTATTATTATTATTATTATTATTATTATTATTATATGAATTAAACTAAAAGAATCGGTAACCTTCCTATATAATATCATGACTAGATGTTAAGTACTGATGTAAAACGAGATGGCTCGGACCGGCTTGGACCGTCTCATCTCGAACCAGCTCATTTTTGGCTCAGTACATTCGGCCCATTTTTTTACGAGTTAGAAAAACTCTGACTCAAACCAAATTGTCCGAGTTCCGAGCTGGTTCGCGAGCCAACCCGTTTTTATCTAATTATCCGAAAAAAATTTAAAATGAGATGAAAATTAATAATTTAAAGAATACAAAACAATATTTTGAAATCATTCAACATAACATAAAAAATATTTAACATAATAATTCATAAAACTATATCTAAATCAAGAAAAATTAACAAAACCAAACCAACATAGAAAATATAATACACCAACAACATCAAAATATAACAAAAAATATATACCATTATCAACATAAAAAGTGTCATACACCAACAACATCAAAATATACACCAATATCAACATATCATAAATTTTAATTTGCTATATAAACTGAAAAAGTGAAGAAATTAAAATATGAAACTCTAATTTTTTTTAATGTCAGCTCGCGAGCTGACCGAGCTAGCCTAGATGGGCTTGGGTTCGTCGCGAGCTGACTCGTTCGACCCGTTTTTATTTGGTCTTTTATTTTTTCGGTCCAGCTCGACAAAAAACGAGCCAACCGTGAGCCAATTCGCAAGCCTGACTCATTTTGTCATGACTAATGTTTACATGTTTTATAAAAAAAAATAATTATTTGTTAAAAAAGTAAAACAGATTTAGTAACCTCATAATATACATTTTTTTTTTCACGCAAACGCAATTCGACCAAGTGGGCACCCCATTAAGATCGACCGCCTAAAATATACAAAATGGGATAAGAAAATAATAAAAGTATAAATCTATCGTGGTGGAACTCACAATTGACCATTAAACAAAATCAACATAACCAAATCCCGTTTTTCCTTTTTGGTCCGTACGTACGTGCAACAACGACGCCTAAGTATCAATAAATATTATTAAATAATGAGAATTTATTATAGAATTATTATCCATAATAATAATAAAATTATTGACCTAAGACAATAATTAAATTTTTACGTCAGTATGCAAAAGCGCAATTCGATTCCTTGTTTAGATTATAATCCTTATATTTCCAAATATTTACAATTGTACTTCATCTTTTTTTTTGTTTTCACAAATACCATTTTATAAACGTTGCGTTGAAAAAAAAAAAAGGCGATATGTTATTATATGAAGTCTTGACATTTCGTCCTTTCAAATGGAAGAAGGGTATCTGCAACATTGGACCCCCCCAATATGAAATGGTACCCACACGAATGGATGCATGGTGTATGATGTATGAAGAATATGAGGAAAGCACTTTCATAGGAGCTTCTTCAAGGAGCCACGTTACTAAATTTTATTATTTTATATTTCAAAATTATCTCTTCGAATTCACGAAACTTTAGGGTTTTTTTCCCTCTTTTCTGGGAAAAAATATAATTAAAAAGTCGTATAGTAATTGCATTATTTTTTATTTATCTAATCGGATTCAACAACCTTCATTTATATCTTGAACAGTATGTATTTTTTTTATCTTGTCTAAACCTTAAAAAATATTATAAATATGCCATATATAATCATATAAATATATTATCCATAAACAATATCTTATTCGACGGAAAAAAACAAATAAACATAATGTAATTACAAAGAACCCAAACCGCTGAGACAAATAAAAAAAACAAAATCTTTGTTAAGGGTATAAATCTAATGAATCCAATAACCATATATTAGTTCAAAACATCAAATTATCACAATCGAGATTCTTGAATTTTACAATATATATCGTCCCGAAAACAAAAGAAATTGTGAAAAAAAATTGTGTATGAACTTTTATTATATTCTTTTCCCAATTCAAAAGACTTTAAATGATTCGATATTCGAATTAATATGCCAATCGATGTATACCATGCATTTATAATTTAGTCTCTCATAACCACATATTGAAATTGAGAATACGGAAAATGCAAATTTTCAACCGCGCGTGAGAAGTCAGCAAATTACGCATAACGTCACATCACACATCGCATCATATCACATGACATTAACACGACACCAGTGTTAGGACAAATACAAATTGGTCATCCTCGTGTACTTGAAGTTGTACCATCCCACCATTACCGCTTGTTTCGTGGCGGTGACGGTGCGAAACTGTCCCTACGTAGCTTTATACTTTTCCTTATTGCTTGCCCATATAATACACCGATACGTACACACTCATATATACATATATACTATATGGCCTGTCCCTGTCTCTCTCTATATATATGTATGTATGTAGACTGCCTTTGTTAGGAAAACCAAGATACGTTTGGAAAACGAAAACAAGATGGGTTAAGACAGTAGTTACCAAACAAGGTTTGTCTACTGTTAAATCTGTTATATTGATGATATCAAGCATCACGATATACCCAAATTTGGGTGAATTAATGATAAAATAACATACGAAACGTATTTTTATCCCGGTTCAAATAAAAACGTAGAGAAAGATATTCATCTGAACTTTTCTTTCCTTGATATTTTGGGAGATATAGTTGAATAAAAAATCTGGTGAATTTTCGAATTATCAAAAACAAAAAAATATTACGACAGTAATCACGTCGTAAGCCATTTTCATATAAATAAATACAATATTTAATTATCTATCAAACGACAATTGTATATCCTAATTTGTGAATTTATATTAAAAATTCGGGTTTTCGTTAGTTTTCTCATGTACGAGTACAAAGAATAATAATCGTCTATCATGATTTCCGTATGGAATTAAAATCATATATCGACACCACATGGCCACATGATACTTTAGGCGACCTTCCCCCTTGCGCATTATTACCTGTTTGGGGACTCCAAGCAAGCAAAGCACTATTCATGCACCGGGACTAAAGGAAACTAGATTCCCTCCCCTCATTGAATTTTTATTTTATTTTATTTAACAGAAAATCCAAAGAAGTAAAACACTTAGACTTTTAAAAACTCTATTTAAGACACTAATATCTGCAATTAAATTAAATCTTCATCTTTTTATAAAATATTCAAAACCCTCCAACTACTCTAAAACATCCATTCAAAACATTAATTATTCAAAAATTTATTTCAAACATAAATTTGTTATAAAAGATATCCAAAAAGTTAGAATTTTTTGTTAACTTAGATTTTTCATTTTAATAAAAGGTATTTATAACACTAATAATTTAATATCATAATTATAATTTTCTAGATTAAGATTAAAATGGTGGAATATTAATTATATATTATAAATAAATTTTTAAAAATTAATACTTTTTAATTGTCAACTAATTTTATTAGTCTATCATTTAAAATCTCACACATATATATGTGGGATAATTATGTATAATTTTAATATATTATTATTTAGTTTTAATGTGATATATTTATTATATAATAATTTAATAAAATTCTAACATTTTTCTTATAAATTTTATATTTTATTGAGATTTTTTATGATTTCGATTTTAAATATATTTTTAACAGATAATATTATTTTATATTTTTTAAAGATCAAAGATTTATTTGGATTATAACTAAAGATTCAAATCAATCATTTTATTATATTATTATTGGTTTTCGTTTATTTGTTAATTGTAGATGCTCTATATATCACCATATAGTAATTTGATTTCGACATTAACATGTAATATGATTTGGATACTTACCCAGAAAAAAATATGATTTGGATAATGTGTATTCCATCTCATAATATAAATGTCCAGTCGATGTTTTTTTAATTAAATCGGTTTAAAATAAAAATTGGTGGAACAAATTTATTATAACAAATAAATTCAGCCGATGGTAGTGGCAGTAGTTCTTTGGGAAGCGCGACAGAACATTATTGGGCCGTCGGCTTTTAAGAAAAAAACCGAGAGATGATTGGGCCGTCACGGAAAAAGGGGGACTGTCACCGTTACAGATAAACGCCGTCACGGTTTCCGTCGCATGCATGCATGCATGCACGCGGGTCCATAATCCGTTAGATTCCAATGCGGTTGGTGCATATTGTATATGTGTATATTAAAATAATGTATGTACTCACTTTCTAAATTGGAAAAATGAAAAGAGTTTATTGAACATATATACACACGTATGTATATATGTATGTCAACAACAAGAGCCAATTAAGTCAAAGTCAACCAGCGAGCCTCGTGTCCAATTCCAAAAGACATTTATTTAATCTACAAGTAACGGAAATTAACTTATTAAATTAGCCCAAAAAAAAAGTACAAATCAATTTACCCTTGTAGTTACTCAAATCAACAACATGTCGACATATATCATATATGTCATGATATTTGATCTTCTAAACCCCATAACCAATTGAGGATCCACATGCTCTTTACCAATATACATTATTATGGAACCACATTTCATTAAAACATAATTAATCTATAGAAATTTAAAAAATAAACACCTTATTTAGATATAAATACGATATGACCCGACCTACAAGGAAATTCACCAAAATTTTCTTCTGAATATATTAACAAATGTTTGATTTTACAAAAAATGATATGAATAATAAACAAGTTTTTTTAACAAATTTTAGACTTTATTATTTATTATCACTTTCATTTAGATAGTTTTCTTAGGATAGAGTATCTTAATACAATTATAATCATATTCAAACAAATGAGTTATTTGGTCCGCAGTGCCTAATATTCCCCTTTTTTTTGGGCATAATGCTTTCCAATCTAAACGTAGACTAATTTACATGAAAATATTAAATTGTTATTACTGATAGTAAAAAATGTTTCTCATTTATTAATTATTTTTGGATTAATCGGTACAAATACTTCCAAAATAATTGCTTTTATCACTTGATTTCTTCAAATTATTACAGACTTTGGTGCTATACGTATATATACACACACATACTAAATAATGTGATGGTTGGCTGTAATATATCTGTGGTTTTAACTTTGAAATCAAATTTAAAATGCGTTTTATTATTTTGATTTTATTCTATATATAAGTCTGAGATTAGTAAAATTAAGTATGTGAGCACTTAGTTTTAATAAAAATATCAGATTGTTTTTTAGCCAAATTAGCAGGTTGATTAATGTCTAATTCTTTTTGGAGAAAGAATAATCCCGGCATTTACCATGAAATATATATCTTATTAAAATTGGAGCGCTTTCTAAGATCAGCCAATTGTTTTATTTTATTTTAAAAAATAATCTTGATTAAAGATATTAACGAGATTTCATCTTGATTGAATTTCCGTAAAATCTTCAATCAACTGATATATATTTTAATTGAATTTGAATTATATCCATTTTAGTTTTAGATTTGTTGTTTAAAGATATTATCTTTCCTCCATAATCCTAAGATATACTACGCGTTAACTGCTTCATTTTTTTAGGTAAATTTAGTCAAATCATTATTTAACCTTTTTTAAAACATTTAAATATTTCAAAATTCTAAAATTTAAATTCCTTATTTTAAAAATAGTAAAAATGATATTCAAATTCCTTTGTTAGGTATTGTAATTAGTAAAAACCAGATGGTATAATTTTAAGTGCAGAGAATAATGTGTATAAAGGTTGGGTGTCCATAAAGGATTGAAACGACGTCGCATTCCCTTGCAGAAGGCATATAAATTGAGCGCTCTCTCTCTGTTCATCTTCCCCGAAGTATTGAGAGACGTTGCAAATCGGAGGGATTTGGAATTGCGATTGAGGGAAGACGGAGGGCGATGGCTAGCTCTCTCGAGAACATCAAGAATGAGGCCGTCGATCTGGTAAGTTTTTTTTTCTCTCTCTCGTTTTCCGGGAAAATTTTAATTTTTCTGCTCTGCATTCGAGGTGTTTGGCAGAAAATCCCAAGCGAATTTTCTCGCCGGAATTCGGCTTCAGTTTTTCGCTTATACTTCGCGGTATTGTCAATGATCGATGATCAGCTCTTCGTTCGGTTGCATCCTCAATCGAATTCGAAATCGAGATTCTTTTATTTGTTTTGTTTCTGTTGCTTTTTATCTAGAGGTATAGTTGATTTGTTTTATCAGATTTTTTTTCCAGAAAACGAATGAATTTTCGGCTCATTAAAAAACGAGTCTAACTAGCAAACTCATTGAACACGTGTTCAATGAGTATGACTCGGCGAATTGACGAGTTTCTCAATGAACTGATTTTTTTAAAAGTAAATTAAATTTATATAAAAAACTCTAATATAATTTTATATTCTTTTTTTATATAATTCATATGATATTATAAATATCCTAATTATTATGATGGTGATAATTGAAAATATTAAATGATATCGGAGTCTTATTAATTTTTTATATATTTATTTAAATTTATAGTTAAATTTAGAATAAATATAAATAAAAAATATTATGTATCTAAAACGAACTTAACGAGTTGAGCCCAAAACGATCCGAGCCACATGAACCGAGTTTCAAACGATCCGAGCTGGCACGTTTGACACTCTAAGTATTGATTAAGCGTTTCATCTTCTTTTCACTTTCTCCAGTTTTTTTTTTTTTTTTTTCTCGTTTACCAAAACGACCTGATTGCTTTGGTGATCTCCTTTGCCAACTCCCACATCTCGAATTTAGGTCTCAGCAAAACCACCAAAATTAAATCGAATCATATTCCTACACCCCCACAAATGTCGCAGCTGTAGTCTTAAAAAATAAAAAGAGTCTTTTTGATATTATTAATATTAGCATGTTATTTTTGCTTTTTAAAATAAATAAAAAAAAATAATCCGCATTTGGAAGTTCGCTCTATCGACTGGGAGACAAGCGAATCTTCGGGCTTCGCCTAATTTTTATTGGGCTCATATTTGTTTTAAGTTGGACGGATTTGACCCAATTGGAATTTGGGCCTTCAAGGCCCATTATGTCCACCACACCATGTCCACGTGTTTTTTTGTCTAATCTTAAACCAACAGAACAAAGTCAACAAACTATGTTGCCAAAGAGGAGAGAGTATATTTTCTCATATGCATAAACTCTGACGTTGCAGGAGAAAATTCCCGTTGAGGAAGTCTTCCAGCAGTTGAAATGCACCAGGGAAGGTTTAACTACAGAAGAAGGAGAGAACAGGCTCCAGATTTTTGGCCCCAACAAATTGGAGGAGAAAAAGGTACTTGAAAAATCTCTGAAAACAAGAGACTTTGGTTAAGCATAACAGTAATAAGTTGACTAGAACTTGTTTGTATGTTAAATAAAAACAGGAAAGCAAGATACTTAAGTTTTTGGGGTTCATGTGGAATCCTCTCTCATGGGTCATGGAAGCAGCTGCCATAATGGCCATTGCATTGGCTAACGGTGGTATTATAAATATCCTAATTATTATGATGGTGATAATTGAAAATATTAAATGATATCGGAGTCTTATTAATTTTTTATATATTTATTTAAATTTATAGTTAAATTTAGAATAAATATAAATAAAAAATATTATGTATCTAAAACGAACTTAACGAGTTGAGCCCAAAACGATCCGAGCCACATGAACCGAGTTTCAAACGATCCGAGCTGGCACGTTTGACACTCTAAGTATTGATTAAGCGTTTCATCTTCTTTTCACTTTCTCCAGTTTTTTTTTTTTTTTTTTCTCGTTTACCAAACAGACCTGATTGCTTTGGTGATCTCCTTTGCCAACTCCCACATCTCGAATTTAGGTCTCAGCAAAACCACCAAAATTAAATCGAATCATATTCCTACACCCCCACAAATGTCGCAGCTGTAGTCTTAAAAAATAAAAAGAGTCTTTTTGATATTATTAATATTAGCATGTTATTTTTGCTTTTTAAAATAAATAAAAAAAAATAATCCGCATTTGGAAGTTCGCTCTATCGACTGGGAGACAAGCGAATCTTCGGGCTTCGCCTAATTTTTATTGGGCTCATATTTGTTTTAAGTTGGACGGATTTGACCCAATTGGAATTTGGGCCTTCAAGGCCCATTATGTCCACCACACCATGTCCACGTGTTTTTTTGTCTAATCTTAAACCAACAGAACAAAGTCAACAAACTATGTTGCCAAAGAGGAGAGAGTATATTTTCTCATATGCATAAACTCTGACGTTGCAGGAGAAAATTCCCGTTGAGGAAGTCTTCCAGCAGTTGAAATGCACCAGGGAAGGTTTAACTACAGAAGAAGGAGAGAACAGGCTCCAGATTTTTGGCCCCAACAAATTGGAGGAGAAAAAGGTACTTGAAAAATCTCTGAAAACAAGAGACTTTGGTTAAGCATAACAGTAATAAGTTGACTAGAACTTGTTTGTATGTTAAATAAAAACAGGAAAGCAAGATACTTAAGTTTTTGGGGTTCATGTGGAATCCTCTCTCATGGGTCATGGAAGCACCTGCCATAATGGCCATTGCATTGGCTAACGGTGGTGGGAGGCCACCGGATTGGCAAGATTTCCTTGGTATTGTCTGTCTTCTGGTTATCAACTCCACTATAAGTTTCATCGAAGAAAACAATGCCGGCAATGCTGCTGCTGCTCTTATGGCTGGTCTTGCTCCCAAAACCAAGGTACTTGCTCCCCTTTATAGAATGTTTTTTGCTGCATTCAGCAATGTATAAGCAAAAGATCAAGCTATGTATGATAAATATTTAGCTAATCTTCAAGATTTTCCTTGTGTAGGTTCTAAGGGATGGCAAATGGGGTGAGCAGGAGGCTGCTATCCTTGTTCCTGGAGACATCGTTAGCATCAAGCTTGGGGATATTATCCCTGCTGATGCCCGTCTTCTTGAGGGTGATCCTTTGAAGGTGGATCAATCTGCCTTGACCGGAGAATCTCTCCCTGTGACAAGGGGTCCAGGGGATGAAGTTTTCTCTGGTTCGACCTGTAAGCAAGGTGAAATCGAGGCAGTTGTTATTGCCACTGGTGTTCACACTTTCTTTGGAAAGGCTGCTCACCTTGTTGACAGCACCAACCAAGTTGGTCACTTCCAACAAGTTCTAACAGCCATCGGGAACTTCTGTATATGTTCCATTGCTGTCGGTATGCTGATTGAGATCATTGTCATGTACCCGATACAACACCGGAAATACAGGGACGGGATCGACAATCTTCTGGTGCTCTTGATTGGTGGGATTCCCATTGCTATGCCTACCGTGTTGTCTGTGACGATGGCTATTGGCTCTCACAGGCTTTCCCAGCAGGGTGCTATCACCAAGCGGATGACTGCCATTGAAGAAATGGCTGGCATGGATGTCCTCTGCAGCGACAAAACTGGAACACTAACTCTAAACAAGCTTAGCGTTGACAAAAATCTGGTCGAGGTTTTCACAAAGGGGGTGGATAAAGATGAAGTGATCTTGTTAGCTGCAAGGTCTTCCAGAACAGAAAACCAGGACGCAATTGATGCTGCCATGGTTGGAATGCTTGCTGATCCAAAGGAGGTATGTATCTCTTCTTTTGTTTCGACTTAGATTTACCTTGCCTTGATTGTTGTCATCATTTTTGGGGGAAGACGCTTTGACTAAATATGTATGCCTATATTTTTAGGCAAGAGCTGGTATTAGAGAGGTGCACTTTTTACCATTCAATCCAGTGGACAAGAGAACTGCTTTAACTTATATCGATGCTGATGGCAACTGGCACCGAGCGAGCAAAGGAGCTCCTGAGCAGGTAGCTGCTCATTACCGCGTACTTTAGTTTATATATGGAAAATGCCCAACCACCAGAAGACCTCACTGTTTGTCCTTAACTAACCATTTCTTCTTTTCAAATTCAGATCCTTGACCTCTGCAATGCTAGACACGATCTGAGGAGCAAAGTCCACTCTGTTATCGATAAGTATGCTGATCGCGGCCTGCGGTCGCTTGGTGTCGCGAGACAGGTGCTTAACTTTGATTATCATGCTTTACCGAACTCCTACTCCAAATTTGTCGTGTAG